ATCTGTTTTTGTACTTATGTAGTATTTTTCTGTGATAAAATAGGCCACACTCAAACGGCCTAGCAACTTACTTCAAAGTGGGGGGGTGTTATAGTCCCTGCATAGTCAACTCAATATTATTCATTTTATATTCACCACTTACGGGCATCTAGACATAACGTCAGAACCGAGCGCGAGTATGAGAGAGACCGTTTTTGGTTTCTGGGATTCCGATTCCGACCACCGAGCAAGACAGACTGTTAAAAAGATGGAGAAGTTGCGAGCCGTTTGTGCTTGGCCGACCAAGTAAAAATTTATTTGGTGTTCTTTCTTATTTCCCGGTGAGTACCTATCAGCATATTATTATAATTCAACCAAATAAACTATTGCCAATGATACATCTACACACCTCACAAACAATCCAATTTTCATACGAATAGAATCATATCTTCACTTCAAAAAGATCTTAAGTAAACTCAACCCAACAACAACAAAACCTACGAATATAACAATATATATCGATGTTCCTGATCTTGTTACAATATTCATAATGTTCACCCTGACACAACCTATTATTATCTAGCCTCCATGCTGATTATCCCACTAATTAATCGTTGTTATCTTGATATTTATTTCATCCATCAATAAAGTCTGTGGCGAAGTGATAAGGTTTCAGGTCCGTAGGAACTCGGGCATATTATGTTATGCACAAGAAATGTGCAGTACAACTGCCCGAGCAAAACAAGAAGGAGGTTTTTTATGGTTTTACCAAAGTTTTTTACTTTTCCTCCATACACATGAAACTCTCCCCACATTGATTACGAATGAACAGCTCCCCCACCCTCTTGGGTACCCTCAGCAAGATTACCTATATAAAGGGCCTAGCCTAGGAGATAGGTATCTGTGACGAACACCTCGCATATCCACTCACATTCCCTGGCCAACACCAGCCACCTCTGCGCCAAGCGGAGGGATACACTGGCACAATGAATGATACATATGTGTTGTACCTGAATTTGAACAAACAATAAATGACTTTGATACTTCAATACAGGTCCGTAAAAATGCAATCACAAGATAGTGGGTTCGCATCTTAACCAGAGCAAGCTTTTTTCAATTGTCTTCCTTCTCCTTCAATATACTGAAATTATTCTCAGAATATTTGGAACAGATTATTCCGAATGTTCATTGAACGTCCCTAGAATATTTGTATCATATTGTGAGAATTTCAAAATATTCTCGAAGAAAATTCTATGAACGTTCTACGAATGACATTGTGCTATTTGGGAAGTGCCTACTTTCAAGTCAAGGTTGTTGCTAGGTGATGAAAAAATCAAGCCGAGTCGTGAAGTGCTTTGTGCTAGTTCATCTTGTAGTTTATGTTTGGAGGTGCTAGAGACAGAGATGAGAATCGACATCCTCGCAAACCATGTTTTTTTTTCTTTTTCTTACACAGGTCAATATATTCTTATCGTGAAAAAGTACCACTCCACCCACTTTTTTGAGATATAGGTAGGTACTTGATTAACTAATAACTTGAATAACTAATCCGTTTTAACGAAACGTATTCGTAATAACGTTTTTCCAAATTATAGTTCCAAAAACCATTGCATACAATGAGGAGTAGTATATTGTTATGTTTTTTCTCATTGTATTCGATTTTTTTTTTCAAAATAACTAAATTATCATGTATACCGGGTGACAGTGAACACATATCTCTTAGTTACATATCTGTCGTGTATCACCGAAGGAACAACGTTATGTTACCATTTGATGAATATGTTATAATAGAATATATCATGGTTATGTAACATATACCTATCGTCACTAATATAACCTCAGGGAACACATATCTGTCACTTACATGTCTGTCGTGTATCAGCATGAAACAATGTTGTTTCTATATTATGTACATTTTATGAATTAGAACATTGGTTATAATGAGTAACATACACTCCCCGACAAAGAATTCTGGACAGTGAAATTTTAAGCAAAATTATTCGCCCTGTAACTTTCGTAATCCTCTTCCGAATTCGATGAAATTTCGACCAAAGCGTAGGACTATGTTTCGCAAAATCAGCCTGATATTTTGTTCTGAGAAACATCTATTGTCCTAATCATTATACAGGAAAAAACAAAAGTAACTTTTTTACCCCCAACTTCTCAACGCCCTGTGGCAAAAGTGAGCAATTGAAATCAGTTTCATTATGTTTATTATTGAGGTGTGATTCCTTCTCAATAAATATGTTCTTTGATTCACGTCAATATCTTCTTTTGAAGAGAAGATACAAAGGATTCAAGAAAGTATGGCATTTTTTAATTTTTATCAACAATATTTCACAATCTACGTGAACTCATTCATCACACTGGTCTTTGGTTGCGCAGTAACATTAAAAGTATTGTTTAACGAAGTGTCAGTTTTTGTGTGTTGGAAATGAGACCCGAGGATGTTGCACGTGCTGTTGCCTTGAATGATGATGGTCGTAGTATACGGTATATTGCAGAATACTTAGGCCAATAAAAAGAATTGTACAAGATGCGATTAGTCGGTTTCGTCAGACTGGTGAATACATACGACTTAGGGGATCAGGAAGACCACGTGTTACCAATCAACGTGATGACCATCTCATCAATCTAACATCTACAGTTATAAATAATAGAATACAAGATGTACGAGGTACAATAGTTTCTGCATGAACCATTCAGCGTAGATTGAAAGAAAGAGGATAAATGTCCAGAAGACCCGCTGCAAGTCCTCTGTTACTTCCTGCACATCGCGCAAGGCGTTTGAATTTTGCTCGTGAACATAGCTACTGGAGAGCCGAAGACTGGGCGAATGTGTTATTCACGGATGAATCGCGTTTTTTTTGCGCTCCCCTGACGGACGTGAACGAGTGAACGTGTCTGGAGGAGGCCGGGTGAACGATTTGTTCAGTGTTGCATATCTCCAAAGACGCCATTCGGAGGTGATAGTATCATGGTATGGAAAGGAGTATCATTGAATGCTCGGATGAACCTGCTGCTCATAGAAAATGGTTCTTAAACTGCTGATCGTTACATCCGACAATGTTTAGCTGAACATGTGGTAAGCTTTGCCGGCTTCGTTGAGCAAAACTTTATTTTAACGTAAGATGATGCCAGGCCTCATGTTACGTGAATCATGACAGAATACTTGGACGACGAAAATATTCGGCGTCCGCGTAGTCCCGACCTGAATGCTATTGAGCACGTTTGAGACATACTGGGTAGACGTGTTCGCAATCGCCACCCAGGAACATAACCGGATTTGCGGACAGCCCTCCTAGAAGAATGGGAAAATTTTCCGCAAGAGGTCATCGACAACTGCATTGAGAGTATGCCTCGTCGCATAGAGAAAGTACTAAGAAAACGCGGTGGCGATACGCGATATTGATTTCTAGTTGTTTGTTTTCCATTTCAAGCTGTTAATGTTTTTGTAAGTTCTGAATAATTGTTGATGAATATAAAAAATGCCATATTTTCTTGAAACACTCGCATCTTCTCTTCAAGAAAAGATATCGACGTGATTTATGAACAAGTTCGTTAGGAAGGAATCACACTCCAATACTAAACATAATGAAACTGATTTTAATTGCTCACTTTTGCCACAGGGCGTTGGGAAGTTGAGGGTAAAAAAGTTACCTTTGTTTTTCCCAGTATAATAATTAGGACAATAGATGTTTTTCGCAACAAAATATCAGGCTGATTTTGCGAAACATAATTCTACGCTTTGGTCGAGATTTCATCGAAATCGAAAAAGGATTACGAAAGTTACAGGGCGAACAATTTTGCTAGAAATTTCACTGACCGGAATTTATTGTCGAGAAGTGTATATACCTATATCAGAGTCAGTGAAATAATGATGATAATATTAATAATGAGAATGATAATATTTCTTCATGCCATATGATCTAGATCTAGATATGCATATATATCAGAAAACTTTTTCAAATACAACAATAAACTATATTGGGTTGTGTTGGGTTATTGTATATTATATGATACTGAAACATGTGAATACGTCACTTGAGATTCAAAATCAAAAGTTCTCGAATGGAATTCCACAGAAGCCCACTTCTGATATCTTTTCATTTTCAATATACGATGACCACGTTTTCCAGAAAATATGCCAGGTGGCGAAACGTTCCGTTGAATACCTAAAATGATGTTAGTCGAGATATCTAATTTTTCAAAACGAACTCTTCACCGTGGACAAATTCGATACCATTTTATTGCCACACAACCGCATAGAATCCAAAGAATTTCAAGGAATGTCCCTGAGAAAAACCGATGTCTCGCCATCTGCACGCAAAATTTCGAGGCGTGGTCATGATTAATCAATCGAAGCTTTCAGACGAAAACAAATGAAAAGTTGACATAGTTGCATCACAAACCACAAATCAATTTTCTCTCGAATCTCCTACGCTTCTACGTCCGATGAAAACCGCACCATATCCGTAATGATAATAAGTATATGACGAATACTTTGTTTCGTCAGTTGACAGCTACGCCACGGCACGGTGTGAATCTGTGTCTCTGTGGCACGGTCATATCCTTTTTCGATTTCTGCGGTTTTGTGTTGATGTTTGTAGTTTTTCGTTTTTGCGTAAAAGGAGTGTTAAATTTCACTTACAGTTTTTGTTGTAAAAAAGAGAAGTGAGTAATAACTTCCATCCACAATATTTTATTCCTCCCTCTCTTTTTGTTGGTAACAATCGTGAGTTTACCCGCGGCTGTCTTTTATCATAACCTAACATTTTTCACCAACCAACTGGGTGCTTTTGCTTTTTACACTCTTTTGTGCAGTTATAACAATAAAACATAAATTCTTGTGAAAATTAGAACTATTGATAAAGATATATTGAAACTTTGTGCTTACAGTAATAATGATGAGTTCCCCTGTTTCGATAAGAAACGGTTATCACATGTATCGTCCAACAATTCATGTAATAATAATGGGTGCTATTTGAATAATCATGATTCGAGTTCTTCTAATGCAAAAAATGATGAAGCAGAAAATTCTGGTGAATTTTTGCAATTTGATCCAAGAATCTAGTTATTGTGATCTGAGAGAGAACTTGGATGATGAAAGTCAAGATGAAAGTAGTGAAATGGGCGTGGATATGGATTCATCGAATTCATTATCAAATGAATTGTTAGAATGGTTCATGTCATATAATATACCACACAGGGCTGCAAGCAGTCTATTGAAATTGTTGAAGAACAATGGACATAATGAGTTACCCAGTGATGTGAGAACTCTCTCAATTACCCCTAAAAATACTAATTCTCAAATTATAGATGCGTATTTTGATCTTGCGAATTTACTTGTTCGCTCTATTGAGAGGTATTGTAAAATTGCTCCAAAGAGTGTTGAAATAGATAGTGATGTGGATGGTTTACCAATTGCTGTAAGTTTGGACAGTCAGTTCTGGCCCATACTCTGTTCACTTGTTAGCAGTGACTTCATATCGGAACCTTCTACTATTAAAATATTTCATGGGTTCAAGAAACCAAAAAATGTCAATTCATTTCAACAAACTTTCATTGAGGAAGCTTCAGTGATTTTAGAAGATGGAATAATATTCAAAAATAAATCAGTTCAAGTAACAATGGATGCCACAATATGTGAAGCACCAGCAAGAGCTTTCATCTATGGAATCAAACATCATTCTGGGTATTTTGGATGTGGAGAATCAATCCAAGAGGGGGATTTTCTTGAAAATCGAGTGGTGTTTCCAGATGTTAGTGCTACTCTTCGAAAAGATGAGTCTTTCAAAAATCGTAGTCAACCTGAACATCACACTCCATCATCAGCCTTGGAAAATCTAAATATAGGCATGGTTTCGCAGGTGCCTTTGGCATGCACCTGACACGTTTAGGTGTTATGAAGCGATTGTTAATATTTTGGGTGAGAGGAAGAATAGATGTAAGCAATAAAAAAAACATTGTAACCATTAGTCATCGACAGATGTTTTTCAGTGTAACACACTGTTACAAAAGAATTTTCTAGATCTGCCAGAAGTGTTTTGGAGGTAGGCAGATGGAAAGGTACAGAGTTCAGGCAGTTTATTTTGTATACTTTAATTTTTATCCCCAAAGATATCTTGCTCCGTCCATATTATGAGCATTTTCTATCAATTAGTATCGCAATTAGAATCATGGTTGATGGAGAATACCATGCAAGCATGATTGACTATGCTTGTTAGTTACTTAATCATTTTGTGACAAAATATGCAAGTTTATATGGAAACGAATATTCATCTTATAATGTTCATAATGTTATTCATTTATGTGATGATTTCAGAATGTTTGGTTTCCTTGACAGATCCAGCGCATTCAAATATGAAAATTTCATGTTCAAGCTGAAGTCGAAATTGAGAAGTTCTTCCAGACCACTCCATCAAATCGTCAATAGAATAACTGAACAGAATGAATTGCCTGTACAATTTGAAGATCAAACCGTTCCCATAATTCATTACAAGAATGAAGATGTTGATTTCATTCAATTCAAAACATTCTGTATAACCACAAAGAAATTGTTGTTGAGTTGACAATGATATTGTTGTGGTTCAAAACACTTCAATTAGAAAAAGAATTTTGTCCATTCAGGAAAAAAATATATATAACAAGTGTGCCTTATTTCGAAGTTCCTTGTGATTCTACTGAATTTGAAATTGTTGTTGATTCACAAGTGGATCTATGTCAAGCTATCTCTGAATATATGGCAACGAATATTAAACGTGAATATTTTGTTATTGACATAACAGGTGGATCATTTCTACTTGATCCTTTCATTTTATGAAGTTTAAATATTCTGTACATAACATATTCCTCTTGAAATGACATCTTGAACGTCAGAGTTCGAATTATACAGTTTTTCAATGAATATGAACTTCATGGGAATATAATGTTTCATTATATCTTGAATCCTAATAAAAGTTGAAGCATTCTATGGAATTCAATATTCGATATACCGATGGAGTTCTATTTGAGAAAAACAAATTAAAATGCCATTCAAAACTGTCCCAGCATTGAAAATGAGTTTGGAATGAAATTGATAGTTACTTTTTGTTCTCACCATTTTCGTTAGGGCAGGTATAGGTGAGAAGAAAAATCGCACGACACTATATCACTCAACTTTGAAAATTCCAGGACTAAAACTACCCAGAAATATTTTTTTCAAATGGGAGAAAATGCTATGATGAGATTTTCAGTGGATGAGTCATTTTCCGATATTCCTCTTTCTAGGATCTGCCCAGGCAGAAAAGAATGTTAGTGGCCAAAGACAAAGAATGTGGCATACCTTATGGCAAGAAATGCATCTCCAGATTAGCAAAGCTGGGAAAAACATCCTATAGAAATAATTTCTTTCAGCTGTAAGTTTTTGTTGTGGAGAATAGTTAGTATAATTTCTTCAACAGGAGATAGCTTTGAGAGAGGAAAAATATGTCTTCTTCATCTGTCCTTATTGTCTTCAGTGTTCCAAAGTAAAATAATGAAAATTTCATTTTGGCTACACTTGAAATTCACAAAAATGAAGAAGGAGACCATATTGATATCAATATAAAAAATGTTATAATGGTATTTTCTTCATTTCTTTCCATTTCTAGTGTTGCCAAAGTACAATTTCCAATATTTCACGTTGAAACCCTGAAGACAAGGGCAGAATGGGAAGACATATTTGTTTCCTCTATTTTCGTAGGTCTGACTCTCATACTTTTTTTCACTGCAGCTTCATTGTATGGTGCTAGAAAAAAAGCTGTTGATTCCGAATATACCACCACATCCAATGAAGGCTCAAAAAAAAGGACGTGGAAAGAGAAAACAAAAGCCAAAAATTTTTAGCAGCTCTTCAGATGAAGAAAATGAAGTGTTGAAAAGGAATATTCTCAGATAAATTATGAACATACAAAAATGGATATATATTTATATAAAGCAATACATTGAGAATTCGCATTCTCTATGTGATGAGAATATTTACTCTTTTTCAGTTAATTCAATAGAAAACAACTACTTTCCATTTTTGTATGTTCATAATTTATCTGAGAATATTCCTTTTCAACACTTTCATACCCAATCAAGGGGTTCAAACTTGAACGATGGAAACTTGTGATTTTTATAGACCTCTAATCGCAGATTCGTGATAGAGTCTCAATTCAGAATTCATTTCCACGCCCTGTATGATGAATGTCAATTTATCATACACCCAAAAGCAAGAAAATGAAGGTTATTGCTTGATGAAAATATCTGAATAGTTCATTTATTTTTGAAGTCAATTTTAGTTTTTTCAATTCCAATGTTTCAGTAACTCTGATTATGGATGAGTATTCAGTAACTGTGAATATTAACGAACAGGTATCTCTATTTTCAGCTCACACACCACCACCTCCTCTGAAAAGAACACGAAGTATTAAAACCTACCCAATGATTCACCGAACGAATGGTAAGAGAAACTAGAATATAGGGTGTTTGGTAAGAAGATTTTGAACATATTTAACTATATTATGTAATATTAAACAAAGTGTTACGGAATTCGAAATATAATCTTTTTGTCAAACATTTTATCTGATTGTATCTTTTTTTTCTTAAGAAATTGAAAACGATAGTGAACACGTAATGGGATCTGAATGAAGGGCTCCGTAGAATTTGAAAAACGATTTTTTGTAACATCGAGTAACTTAAAATTCATAAGCGATGATTTCTTGGAAAGTATGGTGATCAAAAAAACTTCGACTAATTGCGGTTTTTAGCCTTGAAGTCCTATAAGGCGGCTTCCAAAAGAAACAATCATATTGACCGTTTTCAAAGCTGGATAAATTTCCTAAAATTTGAGTTTTGGAAGTTGATATTGATCCCCTCACCATCTTCCAAAGGCTGTGTATTACAAAGCAGTCTGATGACCACTTGCAGGAACACTTCAAATTTGAGTTGGCTCCCTACCCAATGTCTCTATCTTGTAACGAAAGGATGCGTAAAGGCACATGTGGATGGAGGCTTCTTGCTCCATAAAGTCATCTGGCACCGGAACGGTTCGATCAGAGCGATTGTGGCCACCTACACAAGCTACATTGAAAACCATTTTGGGCAGAACGTGGCCGTTGTTTTTGACGGATATCCTGAGGACGGGGCTTCAAGCAGCACGAAAACAGCGGAACGTGTACGTCGATATGCAGCAGCCTCCTGTGCCGGCAATATGTTCGAAAGCTCTACTTTAATCAAGGTGCCTCAAGACAAAATGCTTTCGGATGATAACAACAAACGTCACCTGATTGACTTCCTCTGCTCTGGGTTTCAACTTGAGGGGATTGAAACCCGTCGAGCCACAGAACTGCTTTGGAAAAGAGTGAGTCCAATGAAAGAGTTTGTATAATTGGGGAGGATGTGGATCTGCTCGTTCTCCTCAGTGGCTTGGGCTCCTCTGTGAACAACGTGTTCTTCAGAGAAAGTGGCAGGGGTGACTGTGGGCCTTTACAATTTTCCACCAAGTCGTTCAACAACACGGAAGTTCCGTACCCATCAGGATTAGAGTTGTTTCTCCACGCATTTACCGGTTGCGACACTACCTCTTCTCTTTTTTGGCTAGGGAAAGACAAAATTCTAGGGCCTTCGAGAGATATTGCCCTGATGAACATAGCCACCACATTCCTCAAGCCTGATTCCACTCACGAAGAGGTTGCCCTAGCTGACTCGAGCTGCTTGGTTGCTCTCTACGGAGGAAAGTAAGGCGACAAACTCCACACCCTCTGGTACAAGCTCTTCGTCCGTTCAGCTGCCAACGCGAAGGTGAACCTGGCTCATCTACCCCCACCCGAAAAAGCATCGGCCCAACAGTCGTACCGCATATACCACCAGGTGCAGACGTGGTTGGAGGTGTACAAGGAGCCAACTGCATGGGGATGGACGGAAAACGAGCAGGACTTGTTTCCAATCCTGAATACTGCTCATGCAGGTTCACTCACGCTCCTCGAACTGATTCCCTGTAAGTGCAAGAAAGGCTGCATGGGTGGGTTCACTTGCAGGAAAGCAGGTCTCGTGTGCTCAGGACTGTGCTCAACTTGCCGAGGCAAATCATGCCAGAACAAACCAGACATCGAACTAGAGGATTCCAACGATGAGGCCGATATCGATGACCCGACTCTCATCGATTGCCCTCCTCGATCAAGCAGTGAAGAACCTGGTCCCTCCAAAAAAGACGTTAATCCTGCCCCCCTTTTCATCGAACATTCACATGATTCAAATGTATTAATCATTACTCAACAATATATTGGGTATCGTTGTAAATTGGTTGTTTCATTTCGCTTCCTTAATATAAGTTGGTACAGTAAATTTAATCGTCAAGCTCCATTACTTGAAACATCAAACTTTCAATTGAAGTGTTTTTTAAAGTTAACAATCTTTTTATTGTACCTACATGCTTGTTTATAGGTCCAAATTGAAGCTATATAAATACACTACAACTTGATTTATTATAACTTACCTCGTAGGATGAGTATTAGAGCCGATATTTTGCTCAGAAGAGGACCATAACTACAATTCTCAAATTAAAAAAAGCCGATTTTTGAGGTCCTGTATCTCGGGATGTATCAGACCTCTGGAAATAAAATTAGACTCAAAATGTAGGGCATTGATCTAACTTCGAACAATTTTTATGGGACTTTTTCTTCAGGAAGCCATCTTATAGGATTTTTGCGCTGAAAACCGAAATTAGTCGAATAATTCCGGGGTTTTTCGAGCACCACACTTCAAGCGCATGTCTTTCGGAACTGCAAACTGGGTTTTATACTATCAGGAAATAGCCTAAGATCATGCAAAAAAAAAATTCAATGTGCGAATTTATGCGAACTAGAGTGAATAAAATCAGCGGCCTGAA